TCGAATTCGGCTTTCACCATTTTGTGACTCCCGGCACTCCCGGGGCTCCGGGGACTCCTGGAACAGCGGGGCTCGGCATACCATCTGTCCATCATTCCATCGATCATCGTCTATCGATCATCTGACATGGAACCTGCTTTCCGTTTTGACTACCAAAATCCCGAATCGGGATGTGTGATTCTGAGGGTTTAAGTTGGAAAGGGGATGATATATATAGTTCTGTCCAAAACGGAAGATTCACCGACTTATCCCTAATCTTGGGGCCAACAAAAATGATATACAATGAGAATCAATGAGATACATGGATGATCCAGAATCATCACCACTGTTTGCATACATAGTATTAAGAGAGACTGCCTGGTGGAAATTCGCAGACATATCCGGTTTTTCAAATCGTGAGCGGAGCTGGAGTCAAAGAATTCCACATCGAAAAAAATCAATCCCAAAACAACCACTCCCAAACCTTAGGAACTCGTCTCCAGCATCGACGGCATTCATGCGGGAAACCCTTCTCAAGGCCAGGGGAAACCCTTGGGGAATCTGCTGAACCTTATTGACGTCTTTTGACGTGTTTTGCCCACAAGCTTTGAACCAGTTGACATGGTGAACCAAAGAAAAATCCATAATGTTGGATACCGATTAGTGTCATGGGACTCTATTGTGAGACAATTCCCAAAAATAATTGAGTACTTTCAAACACTTTGAAAAGAACCCAATTGTGAGAAGTTTTTCTCAGATCCAATTTTTCCAAGAGGAGCTTTGTCCACCCTTTATCAACCTTTCTTTGGGTAAAGCTGGTCCACTTACTTTTAGAAAACCATATCCATGTTAAAACCTTGAAAACGCAAGGTTTCTCAAATAATTAGATGCCTTATTAAACCCTTATTAAAAAACAGCTCCCAAACAATTTTTCAAGGGGGTACCACATGAGTGACCCAGATCCTCAATAATGTAATTGGTTCGATGGTACCCTATTGTGCACGAAAACTTTTGGGGTAAAAAAAAAGCACAAAACCTTTTATCCATCTTTCTTTTGGTAAAGCTGGTCCACTTACTTTTAGAAAACCATATCCATGTTAAAGCCTTGAAAATGCAAGGTTTCTCAAATAATTAGATGCCTTATTAAACCCTTATTGAAAAACAGCTCCCAAACAATTTTTCAAGGGGGTACCCCATGAGTGACCCAGATCCTCAATAATGTAATTGTTTCGGTGGTACCCTATTGTGCACAAATACTGTTTGGGTGAAAAAAAAACTTTTATCCACCTTTCTCTTGGTAAAGCTGGTCCATTTACTTTAGAAAGCCATATCCATGGTAAAGCCTTGAAAATACAAGGTTTCTCGAATAATTAGATGCCTTATTAAACCCGTATTGAAAAACAGCTCCCAAACAATTTTTCAAGGGGGTACCCCATGAGTGACCCAGATCCTCAATAATGTAATTGTTTCGATGGTACCCTATTGTGCACATTTTTTTTGGGGTGATCTTTTCTGGATTAAAAAGGAAAATCAATCTAAAATTAGATTCAAATGAATTGAAAGTAAAATGATTTCAACTGAAAGAAAGCCTTTCTTCTCAATAGATGTTTTGGATGTTTTTGAGGTTTAAAAAGGGAAACCAATTGAAACTAGATTCAAATGAATTGAACGTAAAATGATTTCAATTGAAATCCTTTCTTATCAATAGATTTCTTTGAGGTTTAAAAGGACAATCAATTGAAAGTCGATTCAAATGAATTGAAAGCAAAATGATTTCAATTGAAATCAATTCGTATCAATAGATTTATTGAAGGTTTAAAAGGAAAACCAATTGAAAGCAGATTAAAATAATTGAAAGTAAAACGATTTCATTTGAAATCATGTCTTATCAATAGATTTCTTTGAGGTTTAAAAGGAAAACCAATTGAAAGTAGATGCAAATGAATTGAAAGTAAAATGATTTCAATTGAAATCCTTTCTTATCAATAGATGTTTTTGAGGTTTAAAAGGAAAACCAATTGAAAGTAGGTTCAATATGAATTGAAAGCAAAATGATTTCAATTGAAATCAATTCGTATCAATAGATTTATTGAAGGTTTAAAAGGAAAACCAATTGAAAGTAGATTCAAATGAATTGAACGTAAATTGATTTCAACTGAAATCCTGTCTTATCAATAGATTTCGTTGAGGTTTAAAAGGACAACCAATTGAAAATAGATTCAAATGAATTGAAAGCAAAACGATTTCATTTGAAATCCTTTCTTATCAATAGATTTTATTGAGGTTTAAAAGGAGAACAAATTAAATGTAGATTCAAATGAATTGAAAGTAAAACGATTTCAATTGAAATCCTTTCGTATCAATAGATGTTTTTGAGGTTTAAAAGGAAAACCAATTGAAAGTAGATTCAAATGATTTGAAACTAAAATGATTTCAATTGAAATCCTTTCTTATCAATAGATTTCTTTCAGGCTTAAAAGAAAAACCAATTGAAAGTAGACGCAAATGAATTGAAAGTAAAATGAGGCCAATTGAAATCCTGTCTTATCAATAGATTTCTTTGAGGTTTAAAAGGAAAACCAATTGAAAGTAGATTCAAATGCACTGAAAGTATATAAAATGATTTCAATTGAAATACTTTCTTATCAATTGATGTTTCTGAGGTTCAAAAGGAAAACCAATTGAAAGTAGATTCAAATGAATTGAACGTAAAATGATTTCAACTGAAAGAAAGCCTTTCTTCTCAATAGATGTTTTGGATGTTTTTGAGGTTTAAAAAGGGAAACCAATTGAAAGTCGATTCACATGAATTGAAACTAAAATGATTTCAATTGAATTCCTTTCTTATCAATAGATTTCTTTGAGGTTTAAAAGGACAACCAATTGAAAGTCGATTCAAATGAATTGAAAGTAAAATGCGTTCAATTAAAATCCTGTCTTATCAATAGATTTCGTTGAGGTTTAAAAGGACAACAAATTGAAAGTCGATTCAAATGAATTGAAAGTAAAATGCTTTCAATTGAAATCCTGTCTTATCAATAGATTTCGTTGAGGTTTAAAAGGACAACCAATTGAAAGTAGATTCAAATTAATTGAAAGTAAAATGTTTTCAATTAAAATCCTGTCTTATCAATAGATTTCTTTGAGGTTTAAAAGGAAAACCAATTGAAAGTAGATGCAAATGAATTGAAAGTAAAATGATTTCAATTGAAATCCTTTCTTATCAATAGATGTTTTTGAGGTTTAAAAGGAAAATCAATTGAAAGTACATTGATGTCAATTAAAATCCTTACTTAAGTTGACTATCCTAAAAATTGTTGGCGGGGGGGCGTTTAACATGTCGAGTTGTTGAGTAGCCTAAAATTGTTAGGGGGGCTACACTAATCAGTATCCAACATTAGATAAAATCTTGCAGAGATTCATACTTTGAAAAAGAGCCAAAGTTGTTGACACTGAACATATCTGAACATGCACAGGATCATGGAATGCCAAGACAAAACCCTCAGAGAACTCCTGAACGCTGCGCCGCGTGGCCAAAAAAAAGGCTGGGACCTGATGGGATCCCCTGGCAAGATTCATGACTGGGACACCAAGGCCTACAACAAATGACTGCAAAGTGCAGTGCATGCCAGGGATTGGCTATTTCCAGGGTCTATGTTCATTTGGCGAGGGCAATAGATGCTATATGACTATATGAACATACACAGCATCTTATCATGACGTCTCCGATCAGGATCCCAGCTCTTGGCACCTCCCAGGCCTTCAGGAAAGTTTGGACTACTCTTAGTATCTCTTGGTCATTCTTGGTCAATCATTCTTGGGGCATCAGTTGAAGCTCCAAAGTTGGGACTAACCAATACTGACTTTTGCCCTATTCCATACTGTATTCCACTTCTGGAGGTCGGGATCATCCCATCATCCACTGGGACGGTCGCTTTTTCCAAATTTCAACGACGCGCGCATGCGCACGAGCTACTTCCCTTTGGGAAGCAGTTGCTTGGCTTTCAGGGAGGATGTTGAGCTCTTGCTTGGCTTTGTCCAAGTGTTTAACGATGTTTAACGTCTACCCCAAAGTTGCCGATTTCCATGGGATATCATGGGATATCATGGGATCAATGTAGCCCACTTTGGCATTGGGCAACTGATGATCAGTTGCTCAACCTCTGAATATACCCTGGAAGCAGCTGCCAAATGGCAGAATTCATCGGACCGATGTCCTCTGCCCACGGTGAGGAATGGAAACTCAAGGCGTTGTATGGCCATGGAAAATCCTGAACTAGCTGGTATATAGCTGGGAAAAAGAACTATAAATGGTGGACTTTCCAGCTAGCCATGTTTGATCATGTTTGATGACACTGGGGGGTGATTTTCAGGAGCTTCCAGGTCCTGTAAATTTTTATCTTTCGTCAATTGATTGAGGCAAGCATCTTTCACTCCATTCCATGCTAATCGGAGCAAATTTCAAGCTCCACACTGTACAGGACTCGGGACCTAGCATATTCCCCGACTTGTGTACATGTCCAGCAACAAACATGGGCCGATGCATTACTACCAGGCTAGCAAAAAGTGACTATACCATGATGTCTGATGTCATTGATATCATTTATGGTAATAACCCCCATGTATAGTCACTTAAACCCCACTAAAGGATATATATATATATATTACGAGTATTAGATATATGATTAATATGTGTATTAAACGTGAAAAAATGAATCCCATTCATCATCTATATATACGTGAGTAAGGCCAACAACTGCAGATGTTTATCTTGCGACTGAGACACCGTCAAGACAAATGAAGGTTTAAGACCTCCTTGTGGTACATGTGAGATCGTTTTTGTCATTCACTTTGCCAACATAGGGAGTTTCCATAAATGGGGTACCCCAATAGCTGGATGGTTTATAATGGACAATCCTGTTAAAATTGATGATTTGGGGGTACCCCTATTTTAGGACCCCCTCACATCTAAGTTCTCTGAACCCACCAATTTGGGACTGGATTCCGACTGCTGACTGACTTCAGTCGCGTGTCAGAAAGGAGCTCTGCTGTGGGCCCCGATCATTCATCCTAGGCGGGCAGTGGCCCAAAAGCCGGTGCAGTATGTGATACTCTCTACTAATAGCTATGGAAAATGGCCCATTTAGTTCGATGATTTTTTTATAAAAAATGGTGGTTTTCCATAGCTATGTGAAACTGTGAAACTACCAGAGAGATGCAGAGCGTTCAGAGGGTAGGTTTTGAAAATCTAGCCCATTTGCAATCCAAATTGGAGGAAACATCTGAGCATTTATATGCTTGTAAGCTGGGAGACTTCCAAAGTGACCAAAAATATTCTGAATTTTGTCGTCCACCGAATGGAACACATCATCTCACCACAGATCCCGGTGCCACCATGTGCCACCCCGGGTGCCACCCAGCATCCAAATGACGAACTCTTCAAAGTCCACCGTGCCGCTGCCGTCCAAGTCGATTTCGCGCCAGTAGCGTTCCAAACGACTCTGAGGCACGTCCGAAGGATCTGAGACCTTCAAGATGCCACGGATCACCTGCACCACGAGTCGATTCGGGGGTCTGAAACCGAAAGAAAACAAAGGTTTTTTTTTTGGACTCCGATTCAGAATGATGGCATATTACTACTTGATTACTATTTGATTGCTATTTGATTACTATAGATATTGCTATCCTGTCTATACATTTGAGACTTGAAAAGTTTCGCTGGTCAGATCTCCATGTCTGCTGAGTCTGCTGTCTAGTTCAACTCTGCATCCAGGATTCCGGGCCTGGGAGAACCTGGCGGAAAAGGCGTAAGAGGGAGATCAACTGTGGGGGTGTCTGATAATAGGGTATATATATGTAAGCATTGTATTATATATATAGACAGTATATATACATATAGTGTGTAATACATATATATATATACATACACAGTATGTGTATATATATATATATTGTATATATATATTGTATATATATATATAGTTATATTCTACCCCCTATTGTATAGCAATGTTCATTTATATATAATGATATCCCCCTAAGGAAATAGATGACAAACCAATACAAGCCATCAAATTTTGGGGTACCCGACATGTTCAGACAAATCGATGTGTAAATTTGTCCAGAATACCAGAAGTAAGCAGAAAAAATCCCCACGGATTGATGATAGACCTTGTGATTGTTCAACTTCATGGGCATAGTAAAACGAATTAGAACATCAACAGTGCTTGATAGTATGATTGATCAGGATTCGAAAACTTTGGGATCCAAACGTCTGGTCCTAAGGTGGCATGGCCCTATTGGACTTATCAAAGCTGCAAACATCAATGTCTTTCAACAAGAACCTGACTGCAGCAGCAAACCTAAGTGCGTTTGTATGAAGATCAGATGCACCAAAATCTCACTGTTGAGAATTTTTCTTTCTCATGTCCAGTTTGGACATGTCACTGTGTACCCCCCACGTTTGGACACACCGAAATGAACCGGGGAATGACCATCCATAATCCATCAACCCACCAATCACTGTTCAGCTGGTTAGTATACGCTCCCACATATATCAAAAGAATTCAAAAGAGATCAATATCAAACTACCAAGGTTTACCCTGCCGTAAACTAACAAGATATGGAAAACCTAGCATTCGTAGATCATTCTTCGATACAATAGGTTTTCATAGGCTTTTCCCACATCTTTTTGTCGGTTTCCCCAGGGTTTACCGTCTCTCCACGCCTGTCTTGTGTAATGACACGAGATGTCTCTTGCGAGGCGTAGCTGTCGAAGAGGCGACGTAAACGTTCCACATCCTTGGGACCGTTGTAACGCTGATCTCAAAGAAAACAATGTGGGTATATGGGGGCTTCATAAAATGGGGGTACCCCAAGTCACCATGGGTTGAAGAATATGTTTCAATACTAAGTGATGGTCTATGATGGTCTAATGAGTCTAATGACTTGGATGATTGGGGGTACCCCTATTTTAGGAAACCCCATATTCATATACGAACATGTTGGAAACAACTGAAAAACCAGGGGAACGAAACCGCAGAACATGGGATAAAAATGATAGAAACCACCAAACATCAACAAACCCTGCATTTTACCAGCAGTAGCTGGCTAATCCACGAAGGCTACCAACTTCATCCCACAATTTCATACTATATATTATATATATATATACTATTATTTATCACAGTCAGCAAGTACTCCCCAGGTACTGATTTCTGGAGTCATAGCATTTCTGACTGGGCACTAACCATCACCAACCGCCTCTATTTGTTTCACATGTTCTCATATATGTACTATAACAAAACAAAACAAGCTGCTTCCAATGAATACAGCAACAATGGCTATATTCAATGATTTAATCACGATTTTTCCTATATACATATTTTGCGGTTAGATCATGTTAGATCCTATGAACTAGCATGGACCCTGCCAAACATTTTAGTTTCCACAAGAAAAACATGTCTTTTGTGCACTCCAGGAATCCTAAACGGTTTATAAGCATTTATAAACCATATATATATAATATATATATATGCCATATCTATAACCCATCACCACTGGGGACATCTTTTGATCATCCCAAATCGCCCACTGGGATGGTCCCAGCATCCAGAAGGTGAATGCCATAGACCCGAGCCAAGCGCCGGGCTTCCCGGTCCCGGTCGTCTCTGACTAAGAGCTGCTCCGACCAGCTGGCGCCCTGACACCAGCGGACGTACTCCTTGAAATCCACCTAGGGATTTGGCCAAGTTGTGGCTGAATGTTCAGTAGTTTCACTGGGATCTATAGTAGGTACATTAGATAAATATAGATAAATCATCTATAAAAGTCAGAAGTTATTTTTTGCTTCCGATGGATTTAAGTTGACCTTTATGAAAATATTCAACAGACCGAGCCGACCGAGCTGCGACGCGATTTCCATCCGAATCCATCTGCGGATACTTCAGCGCCAAGTTCTCCGGCAGCATTTCGCCCTCGGTCATCCGACACGACCTTCTCACGGCCTTCTCCTGAGACGAGACGTGGAAAGCTGAAAGATGCGCTGGGGGAAAATCAATACGATACAACGATATAATTCCGTGTATAATATAAATATATACATCCTCTATTATCCAATGTAATCTGCAACAGTAATAGATGATAATAGAACGCAATAGTTAATAGATAATTATTTAAGAATAATGGATAACAATAAATAGACAAGAGTAGTGACAAATAAACTCTAAATAACACATACTAACATATTAGTAAGAATAAATAATATAAATAACATATAAATAACAAATACGAAGTATTAAGAAAAAAATGGTAACAATAGCAATAATCTAAAATCATGTGTATAAATGTGTATAATTACGTATATAAATATATCAAATATATATATATATGGTGCAGCGTTGGCCACCCCCCCTCCCCCCCCACCAATGGGTATGGGTGGACAGTATCTCTGGTTCTTCTGGCCCCCCCCTTGGCCTGTGGTGTGGTATGGTCTTCTGGTCCCCCCCCCCCCTGTGGCCTGTGGTGGTGGTATGGTTCTTCTGGTCCCCCCCCCCTGTGGCCTGTGGTGGTGGTATGTTGGTATGTTGGTATGTTGGTATGTTGGTATGTATGTATGTATGCTGTATGTATGTATGTATGTATGTATGTATGTATGTATGTATGTATGTATGTATGTATGTATGTATGTATGTATGTATGTATGTATGTATGTATGTATGTATGTATGTATGTATGTATGTATGTATGTATGTATGTATGTATGTGTGTGTGTCTGTATGTATGTATGTATGTATGTATGTATGTATGTATGTATGTATGTATGTATGTATGTATGTATGTATGTATGTATGTATGTATGTATGTATGTATGTATGTGTGTGTCTGTATGTATGTATGTATGTATGTATGTATGTATGTATGTATGTATGTATGTATGTATGTATGGAATGTAAGGTAAGGTAAGGTAAGGTAAGGTAAGGTAATGGTATGTATGTATGTATGTATGTACGTAGGTATGTAGGTAGGTAGGTAGGTAGGTAGGTATGTAGGTATGTATGTATGTATATACACCACCACAGGGGCATCATACCCCCCCCCATCCCATGGGGGGGGTGGGAACACGGGACACGGGACCATATATATATATAAATATCTAAATATAGTTCACCATCTTTCGCAACCATACCACATTCTCTCTATGCAGAGTTTCAAACTCATCGGCAGAGAGCGTAAAGGAGCCATCCAGGTCCAGACTTATGAAGTCATCGAAGCAAGCCTTCACCTTGCGTCGTTTTTTTGGGGATCCCAATGGGTTTCCATCCCCAAACTGAGTAAATGGGGGTCAATCTGATGTTGTAAGCCAGTTCAAAAGATGATAAACCCTGACCCGCTGATCTACAAGTTCTTAATCAGTAACTTGGACAAACATCCAAGTATGGAAGGCTGCATATTTTTCAGAAAATGCAAAAAAAACGCAATTACAACCAGTAAATTCCATAGCTGAATTTTAGAATTTCTCAAAAAACCTTCCTTTCCTGCCTCCGCGATAGGCACCAGCATGGTCTTGGAAATCTGATTGCACAGCTGGTACAGCTCTGCAATGGACATCGGCGCCCCCGGGCTCGAGGGCTGCCGCGTGGATTTTTCCGCGCGCACGATGGGCGCGTCATCTTCGGGGTCCTGGAAAAATTCACTGTATGACTTTAAACAAATATACTGTATATATATATAAATTAAATTAACAAGTTATAGTTACTTAATGTTATTTTCAAAAAAAAATATAAATTTATAAATTAATTCAAAAAAACTATCCACGCAAACGGTATATTCACCTGCTACTTACGATTGATGTAATATCAATATGGATGCTGGTTATACAAATGGCAGTAAATCTACAGTATGAATGCTTAGTGGACGGTACAGGATAGGGGTTGAACTGTACCGATACAGCTCATGAGGGATGTTGCACAACCTAAAATCACCTACAACAACACCTATTTTCAAGTATTTGAATAGAATATGTACCCACAATTTCAACAAAGTTACTTTATAAAAAACCTTGGTAAATGTAGAAATGTATGGGAAAAAAAACATTGGCCGTGAAAGTCCCAGGCACTTCACTGGAGGAATTCCTCTTCCGAATGAAGTGTTGCCACCTTGGACTGAGGGAAAAGTGGCAGGAACGATGGTTCAGAGCCATCAAGATTTGTATGTTCTGATCAAGCAACATCAAGTATCATGTACTAGTGTTTGTATTGAATTGCTCTTGGCGTATTTATATATATAATATTATCATTTAACATCATTTGAATATTTATATCGTTTCGCTGAAGCCTGCGATGCATTTGGCCGGATTTGGAGGTCATCTTTACTCAATGTGTGGCACATTTGCGCATCTCCAATTCATCCACCAAAGCACCATGGCCCAAAAAATGGAGTGATTTCGATGATCCCACTGACATTAATGGGGAATTGGATCTAATTGGGGCCATGTGCCAATGACCATCAATCATAGTCCTGCTACAGCTGCGGCTCGCTACAGCCATAGATCAGCATTCTCACATCTGGGAACATCATGCAACACCTCATCATAGTCATCATCGTCATTGTCATCGTCGTCGTCATCATCACCATCAGCATCATCATCACCACCATCACCACCATCATCACCATCATCACCATCATCACCATCATCACCATCATCACCATCATCACCATCATCACCATCATCACCATCATCTCCATCACCATCATCATCACCATCACCATCATCATTAATCAGTAATCATTGATCATTCATCTTTCATCATTCATCATTCATCATTCATCATTCATCATCATCATCATTATCATCATCATCATCATCGTCATCATCAGCATCAGCATCAGCATCAGCATCATCATCATCATCCTCCTCCTCATCATCACCATCATCATATTCATATTCATCCATTCATCCATTCATCCATTCATCCATTCATCCATTCATCCATTCATCCATTCATCCATCCATCCATCCATCCATCCATTCATTCAATTCATTCATTCATTCCTTCATTCCATTCCATTCCATTCCATTCCATTTCATTTCATTTCATTTCATTCATTCATTCATTCATTCATTTCATTCATTCATTTCATTCATTCATTCATTCATTCATTCATTCATTCCATTCATTCATTCCATTCATTCATTCATTCATTCATTCCATTCATTCATTCATTCATTTATTCATTCATTCATTCATTCATTCATTTCATTCTTTCATTTCATTCATTCATTTCATTCATTCATTCATTCAGTCATTCATTCATTCATTCATTCATTTCATTCATTCATTCATTCATTCATTCATTCATTCATTCATTCATTTCATTCATTCATTCATTCATTCATTCATTCATTCATTTCATTCATTCATTCATTCATCCATCCATCCATCCATTCATTCATTCATTCATTCATTCATTCATTCATTTCTTCATTCATTTCTTTCATTCATTCATTCATTCATTCAATCAATTCATTTCATTCATTCATTCATTTCATTTCATTTCATTTCATTTCATTTCAATTCATTCATTCATTCATTCATTCATTCATTCGTCATTCATCATTCATCATTCATCATTCACCATTCATCATCATCATCCTCCTCCTCCTCATCATCATCATCATATTCATATTCATCCATTCATCCATTCATTCATTCATCATTCATCATTCATCATTCACCATTAATCATCATCATCATCATCATGGCTCAAGAGAATGATAATCAGTGCGGAATCAGTGAAATCCTCAACTGTTCACTGAAGTGATCTTAGCATATACTGGTATGGGAACCCCAGTGATACATGGAATACCTCCAATTCAAAAAATATCCCCAGTTCAAATCATCTCTGGCTCAGGGCACTCTGTCTGCTGCATGTTTTCCTGCTCGGCTGCTTGCCGTCTGCGCTGCATGAACTGCTGCGCCGACGACGCCAGCGAACAGACCGGTGGCGGCGTGGAGGGTGGTGGGGATGGAGTCGAGGAGGTGATAGGGGTGTCGCGGTGGAAGTCGGCACTTCCTTGGGGGATGTGGGCTGAAAGCTAATGTCATAGGAAATTCACAATGATGGTTGTAAAACAATCATTATAGGCATAGTACAGTAATCAAAAATAACACTAACTATAGTAATATAATAGACTATAATAATCATTATATATTATAATAACATATAATAACCCATCCCTCAATAAGTAAGCGTAAGAAACCAACCATCCCCAATGACTCATCGGATTGGCTTTGCCACATTGTATGGTAGGGAAAAAGAACCGGCCCATAGTAAAGGGTTGTAACTCACTATCTGCTACATGGAACTTTTTGTTGACTCCTGTTTTTAACAGGTCTTCACCTGTCAAATGGAGGTTTCACCATTGCAACATACACAGTCTGTACGGGTCATTTGGGTACCAAACTTGGATGATTTTCTCTGAGGGTTGTGCATCACGATATGGCCATGGGTCAAAATTCTACCCCAGTTGCCTAGTTTTCACATCAATGGCCATGTTCAAACATGTTCAAACACCACCATTCATCTGGGAAAATCCCAAGCTTTTAACCCTCCAAAAATGATCCCATCGGCTCTTTGACTCAAAATTGTGAAATATGGTGCCCCGAAGCTGATACCATCATTTCATATCATTTCCCCAAACTTTCCACAAAATGAGGGAATCCCAACAAAAATGATATGGATAAGAATTAGGTGGGCCCCTCGCCTTGGGCCCGGGGCCTTGAATGTTGACCCTTTTTTTGTGCTGGCTTCGAAAAAACCCTCAAAGCCCCATTCAAAAGGAGCGATTTTTTGTCCAAGAAGTTGTTGTGACCCCTTTACCACTGGAAGTCCCCAGCTAGAAGCTGGTGTATGACCCCATTGAAAGGGGATACGCAGCATAGTTAAATCATGTTAAGGGTAGACACTGGAGAAAAAACAACAACTTTTGACTACTGGAACAAAAATTAAGACACTGAAAAAAAAACTTAAGAATCTGTACTTTGAACCTTTTTGCAGCTGAAATCCCATATGTGTACAATATGTGCAGGGTTTGGGCACTTAAACATGCAATTTTACATAATATCTAAAGCGTTTTCGCCTTGAATCTTTGATTTTTATTTGCAGCTGAAATCTCTTATTTGTACAATCTGTGCAGGGTTTTGGAACTTAATTATACAATTTGCATCAATTTGAATGGTATTTCAAAGCGTTTTGGCCTTCATTGAATCCCTTGTTTGCACCGTGCTCGCAGCATCTTGGAGCCAGCATCTGTACTACGCAGGGATTATCTGCAGTATTTCGTGGTATTTGCAATATATTGTCTAGAGTTACGTAGTTTTAGGATCTATTTCAGGTTGGTTAGGGTGTATTTAGTGGTTATTTCTGGTTGATTTTAAGTTTTCTGTACGGTTACTTTGGGCCTGAACTTTTTTTAATTGTTTACGGTTTAGATTTGTTTGCTTTAGGTTTCCTTTTGGGTATTTTAAGGTTTACTTCGGCTTGTGCTATAGTATTGGTTTGGGGTTGGCTCGGTGCTTGGTTGGTGTCGATTTAAAGTTGTAGTGTGAATTTAGTGCTGGTTTGGTGCTTCTTTCGGGTTGTTTTAGGATCTACTGAATGTTGGTTTAGACTTTGTTTAGGAGTAGTTTGAAAGTCTATTTCGGTTTTTGTTATTGTTTGTGGTGTAGTGCATGGGTTTGTTTAGTGCTGCTTAAATTCTTAAACTTATGGCTTATTTAGGCTTTGCTGATGGTTTATTTGGATTGCATTCTTTAAGATTTGATGTGGGTTTATTTATGCTTGTAAGTTGTTTTGGTGTTTCTTTATGTTTACGTTTGTGTTATATAGTGCCGAGTTATGGCTGGTTTGGTGCTTGTTTGATTGTGTTTTAAGGTCTATTTAGTTGTGGTTCAGGTTTTAAGGTGTCATTTCAGGGCTTAGTTGGAGTTGTTTGGATGTTTTTTTGGTGCTTCTTTCAGTTTGTTTTAGGGATGTTTATGTAGATTATATAGAACGGTTGGTTAAAGTTTTATTGAGGGTTGGATTGTGGCCTATTCAAGGTTGCTTTCGGGCTTATATAGGGTTTGTTCCTGAGATCAAAGGATGAGAAGGGTAAAGGACCAGGATGAGGAGGGTAAGGGACCAGGGGATCAAGGGACCAGACCAGAGGACCAGGGGACCACAGGACCAGGGGACCAAAGGATCAGGGGACTGTACATTTATTTCTTTTTCCAGGGTCCTAGATTTTTTCCAGGCAACTTAGATTGTTTTTCCAGTATCATCCATCATGTTAAATCCAACATCCAACAGCTGGGCTAGGGGCTAGTTTTCAACCAACTTACCTTACCATACATCATCACAACTCCATATCACTCAACTTTGAATCCCCATTTCTGTAACATGCCCCCTTGTTTGAGCGAAATCCGAAGAAATCTCGGGCCCCATCCCTTTCCAACACAACGCAAGGCTCGCAAGCTCCCGCCCAAATCCTCCTCTTCCCACGCTTCCACCGGCTGCAACCGCTCCCCCGGCGATGCGGCGTCCCGCTCCACTGGCTCGGGGGCTGAGGGCCGTGGCACCGTGCAGGAGGGAGACGCCGGAGACGTTGGGGAGCTGGGAGAACTGGATGATTTGGGCGAGCCATGCCTTAGTTGGGATAGTTTTGGGAGAAATGGTGTTTCTCGTTCACTGGATTTTTTCACGGATATGTCCGAAATTCTGCTGGAAGAATAGGAAATCTTTTGGCTCACGAAACTGCTGTTTCGCCAGAAAAAAAAAAATATCGCCGGAAAGAGAAACATATACTGTAAGGACACTTGCTTTTCTGAAATGATGTGAATGTGTAGTGGGCGGACTTTATACAAAACCAAAAAGGCAACATCGTGGTCTTGATGTATTTCGTAAATTTCTGCACTTCATATCAAATCGCTTCTCCTCCATTGCTTGCCATGTGCAAATTACAAGAAAGGTTTGGAAGGTTTCTGTGATGAACCCCCATGTCCAACGATGTTTTTGTTTAACCATTGCGTTCCTGCATCCAAGTGTCTCCGACTGCGACTGCAGGCTGAAAAACGCTGACCCACTGGACATCTTTGAACGGTACAGTTCAGATTGTTCCAGGAGCATATCAGCAGAAACCCACGGCATGTTGCGGCAGCTTCTTTTCTCTTGGCGCGACATTCTAGGTCGGCGGCTAGCAAAAAAACGACTCCCAACACGAAATAATGAAACTAAGGTATAAACAACGTGTGAAATTGCAGGCTGGCACCTACAATATGTGGCTCTATTTATCTTGGAAACCATCTTCTATGTATGTATATAATTATATATGCCTTTTCATCATCGGTGTTCAGCTTCCAAACTGGAGCTAGCTGGGCAATGTAACTTCATGATCAAACAACACGTTCAACACGCACCTCCCAAATCGCATTGCAGAAGAATAAAAACAACTTGTGCATGACACTGTGACACTAGTGCCAGCTTCAAAGCGGCCAACTTAAGAATATCGAAGAGCGGGAGGAACATCGCCCTATACATACAACTAATGACAAACACGTGCTATCATAATATATAGCTGCAGCTTTCTAATGTGTTTAATGATCGGTAATTCAGCCACTCATGATACCAAAGAAGTGTCCATGAAGTCTCCCTGCCTTCTACCTTCAACGTGTTTTTTTCCCAGTTCAAGTGCTATATCATGTATATTGGTATATAATATATATATAGGTACTACAATTGTCGCAACTAGAATGATGGATGCAAGTAAAGTCATCAAAATGATTCAAAATGCAAATCATGCCAATCCACTTTTTGTTTTTGAATGTTTTGAAGGTTTTTGATATGAATTAAGTTCATCATAGTTGACAGATTAGTTGATCCAGTTGCTCCATCCGTCGCCAAGGTGCACTCTTCCCATAGGCCGCCTGCAGGGCCGTCCGCTGGACGGCCGCGGCGACGTGGGAACGCGCGGCAGCTGGCGCCGGTGCAGTGGTTCCAGAGGCGCTCGGGGCAAGGACAACGTGGGGCGCATGTAGTGGCACCCCTCCCGGGGACCCAAGGGACCCAAGGGCTCAAAGGGACCCAAGGGCCCCATGGAGTCACTACTACGCTCTGCATACATGGCATGAAGCTGAGATATGGGAAGTGATGATGATCAGTAATGCATTTATTGGACTTTTGGTTGTTGAAGGTTTCAAGGTTTCAAGTGACTTGTCATACTAAAGTCATGCTGAAGCGGGGTGGAAATCATGCAGTGCATTTGAGTCTCTTCATATTTTGCCATTTGGTCCTTTGATCCTGTTCGCCCGCTAAAGTGAAAGAATTACGAGTAATGTGAGTAAAACAACTAGTAGTTGTTCCCAAATGGGTGGTTTATTATTGTTTTACCATGTTTTACCAATATGATAGTTGCGACTTGGCCTGGTAAGGTCGAAAGCTGTTGAACGGTTAAACTTGCTGGACGAAACTTCGTCGGCGCTGGGATGGTTGTTAGTGCTTATAAGCTTCATCATCCAAGCTGTCGGAATGGAAAAGCCCTGGAAACACAATAAAACAATCGCCCTGGAAGATGTAGAATAGTTAACCTGAAATTCTCCGCAACACACACAACATATATCAACATATTCCAGTCAAAAGGATGAAACCACTTGTTTGTAATTTTCGGACAGCGAGTAGCCGCCTGAACAGCCTGAAATCTTGATCAGCTATGATCAGCTTCACCTAAGCTGACGGTTTTCAATAGAACCCTCTGGGAACCACCCAAGAAAGAAAAATGTGTTTGTCCCCAAGCCAATGATATTCAACATAATTCAACAATTTGGGCGTAACTGCATAACCTCCCATCATGTTTAAGACTTAACTGATACCCAAATTGACTTTCCATCGTCTGCTACCACCTCATCAAGCCCCCGCACAGTCTGTGGCAAAGATGTCAGGTGCAGTGCTGATGCCCTGAGAGATGGTACCTGGAATGCGGCGAAGGAGACGGATAAAATCAGATTGGAAAAAACATGTCCCATATGTCCATGTGTCCCATAATATGTATCCATATGCTCCATGATGGAATATGAATACACTTGTATATTGGTGAGATCATTGAGACTCCCATGTTTTCGAGGACAAAAAATGATCAATCATCATGGGTTCTTTCACATGTTTTCTATAGTGTTAAATCACTGTTCAGTCATGTTCTGTGTATCAAAATCCATAGTTATGTCAGTTTACCAGAGGGTATGTTCAAGGGATTTTTGCGAAGATGTTGACCAGGACATCTCAGTGGCCTGGAGATCATTGCATTTAGGGCTCCCCCATGACTTGGGAAACCTTCATATTAATGAAATAATATGAAATAATAAATATTGATGATATATGCATTATATGATGTATATAGGTAATTGTTAACATCTACTTATGAATGTGATATAGAGACATAGAATTCTAGTCCTTACCAAACATCATGGGTAATGTATCTTACCATTTGGGAAAATCCACTGCTGTCCGCCACAGAGCTATCCATTCTCAGTCGAGGTGCCAAAAACAGCGACTGTCCGGGAGAGATCTTCGCCAAGGACAGCGCTGGTGATTTCATGGGATTTCATGGGGAGATAACAGGGGAGATTTTGAAGGGACATGTTGCTTATTGTTCATGTTTTTTTTGAGGGGGGGATTAGCCTCTGGCAATGGGCATGACCACAATCTTAACCATATTAACCCCCATAAGTTAGGATATAAACTTAAACCCTGCAACATTGTTTATATAACAACTATATATATATAATTATATAATTATGGGTTATGTTCCTAACTTATGGGGGTTGTATCTCCGTGGCTCCTGACCCACTCAGCACCTCTTTGCGCGCAGCTGTGTAACACTGGAGCCAGGGTTTTTAGCCACGGAGCAATCCCATGAAGGAAGATTGGTGTTTAAAAATCAGCGGCATATTTGAATTATAACCCATAGGATCCATGGTGCTGGTATATATGCTAACATGTGGGGTATATTGATGGTAAATGTTACCATATATAGCATACATGGATCCTATGGGTAATAGTGATACTACAGTATATTGGAAAAAAATAATTCACAATGAGAATAACAGAATAACCATCATCATGAATGTAGATCAGCTGATAGATGGATATAGTAGATACAACACACATAAGGATATTCACCAACAATCATTGGTTGAGCCACCAGGCCACACACTTTTATGCTGAGATCCTAAGACTGGAGATCAATAGCAGATTTGCTTCACCAAACAAGACATCATATTTATACACAACAAAAGCACAAAAAACAAAACTAGTCCCATGGAGCTTTTGAGCAGTTTGTCACATTCAGATCTGGTTTAAGAATAAATGCCATAAATGTATAATGATGTATAACATAGATTATAATGATTCGACAATTCACAAACCTGAACAGTTTGGCCCATGGTTGTCTCCAAGCAACCTGGGCCCCCTGCGGATCCCGTTTCACGACCAGGTGCACACAGCTGTGAGTCGTGAGAAAACGCCGCAGTGAACCACGCCATACGAACCAAAACAAAGATCTTGGTTGCAGAGTGTAATAATCCAGGATACATGATAATTGATAATCCACTATAAATAGTTCCATAATACAAACCAATATTATACCAATACCACTATAGGAAAAGTATAGAGAATGGTCCAGCTGGACATGCTGCTCGGCACGTCTCCCTATCACAAGAAGAGCTCGCGAAGGTAGTCGTCGATGTCGTCCTTCAAGAAAAGGTAACAACGGAAAATCACCATTGTTCCACGTTCAATTGCAGACATTCATTTAAGTATCAATGATTTGTCAATGTGTATATAAGTATAAATAATATGATACAAAAAACAAATCCCAATGATACATTGATGTAGTTATATAAATATGTTATTCCCATATCCCAATTAGGAGCTTACCACTGGCTCTTCTCTAATCATGTCATGATTCATGTCTCAAAAAGGACAGCGGCCTCTCGAGTGCGAACCTGGGCACGGCATCACGGACGAACTGGGCACGAGTGGAATGGAATTTAATGGATTTATGGGGAAATTTATGGATCTACAATGGGATCTACGTGGATTTACTGGGATATATATGATGATATACCCTCCAGTATTTTAACAGTGTCATGGAAGCCATGCTCCATAGAGTTGGAAAGAATGCTGGCCAACCGAAGCCAAATCATCTTCGACATGTAGGTATCAATCAACATTGCTACCTTACAATCAATGGGATTGCCTGCTGATGTACATCATCTTAGATCACATCCATTGATCATGCGTTCATAATCATTGATCATATTAAACCATCGATCCGCTTTTTGTGGAGTAAGCAGGGTGCCCCATGTTCACCAACATCCACCAAACATATACAAAAAGGGATTAAAGATCATCAAAATTATACTGCAAAGCCAAAAAAAAGATAACGTCCAAATTCCACCCGGCTATTTATGCATAGTTTCTGTTTATCCATTTAAAATCATCTATTCGACAAATGGCGTCCCCAGCATTGTCACAAGATGTCAAAAGGACCAAAAATCCACCGATTTTCCGTCCCGACAAGGTGGGACCCCTAGTTAGGCCCTAGTTTCATGTTTCTTGGTTTAGATTCCCCCCATCAACTGACTATTAGTTTTAGTTATATCATGTTATATCACATGTCATTTACATGTTGTTACCATGAGTCCTAGTTGCTTATACATCAACTTAGCTAACGGACTCGGGCTCCACCTCGTAAACAACATGTTTGTTTATTCCAGGAATTCCATTCCGAAATCCACTGGTGTTCAGCATGGTTTCCCCTCATTCAAACGCGAACTTGACGGAATTCTCAACTCTAAATCTCAACATGTTGGTGACTTAAATCAAGCATAAATTCCACCATAAGTCCACCATAAATTCCTACTTAGCTGACATGTTGATCCATCATTGAATCATAAATCCACCATAAAATTTCCCCATCATAAATCATAAATCCCATGGTATTTTCCATCAAAAATCCACCAGAATTTCGCCATGTTTTTCTGGTGAAATTTCCACTGTTTTCCCGCCTCTGGATCCGGCTGACGCCAGGCCAATGACTCCAACATCTTGAGATCTTCGGTGCTGGGACCGCCTTAAGCCGGCGCGACATGGCGCTAGGGATTCGCTACTAGGGATTTCACCCAGCAATGGGGATTTTCACCCAACAAGAATGGTGATTTTTCACATCATTTCACCATCCAATAAATCTGATTTGATCATTAAAAAATGGGACTTAAATTGCCCAAAGCCACGGGTTTTTTCAGCCAACAGACATGAGATTTTTTTGGAAGAACATTGGGATTTAACAATTAAAAAGTGAAGATTAATATAACCCATACAATATTGGATTTAACCAAGAAACGTTGGGATTTAACATACAAAAAAAAGGATTCAAACCATTGATCATGGAAATTGGGGGTGTCTGAAAATGGAGTATAGAGGCAACTGACTAGGGGAGATTGTGATTCAGCAATGGATTTAGACAAAGCATGACAAATCCAAGTATCAAAAGTGGAGATTTTGCCGACAAACAAACAAACAAATTACGGATTCGTGGTTAAACTATGTTACACTAGCACTCCACGTGCGATGCTTTGACAAACATGACCCAACTGCAGGCAATTTTACCAAACATGGAGTAAGCGGGTATGAGACATTATGTGACCCAAATCATATATGTTCACGGGTAAACACATTCACATCCCAAAAGCACCAATGCACGTATGTATAAATATATCTACACCCTTCATATGGATGGCGCGAGAAAGGGATTGACCTCAATGTCACAGAAATCTTTGACTCCCAGGAGGCCTTCCTTGAGGGTTGGTTGTCAGCCACCATAAACCCATGAACATAGCTATGGCAACTCACAATAGGTAAATAATTCAACATAGTATCTATAGCTATGCTAGTTTACTGGAGGGGATAATTCCATATTCCAATTGAATTTCCAATTCTTTGTTGATGAAATCCTCATTAACCACCATTAATGCCTATGTAAATAACCATTAAATCACCATTTCAAGCTGCCGTCCCCAGGCCGCCTGGTTCCTTCTGTTCTTGCGCTGTCTCTCTTTGCGACGCGCTGGCCATTGTGGCATCCTGACGCGCTGGCGATCGTTGGGAGGTTTCAAGGTGCCTTGGAGAACAGCAAAATGTCCATCCAAGCTGAGACATCTTGATGATATATCATTGGAAATCATTGGAAATAGATCATAAATGATCATAAAATAAACATAAATAAACCATAAATGATCATAAAATAAACATAAATAAACTGTTAACAATCCTTTGCTGGCTAAAAAAACAAGAAGCCAACTTTAGTAGATGATGAAATACAGGCTATATGAACTTCTGTTAACAAACGCATGAAGAACTCTGAACCAACACAGCCAACGATACCAAAGCTGGAGCATATTCAGCAACGAAAAGCCCATTTTGATGTGTGGGAGATCACAAACAAATGGGTCCCAAGCCAGATAAACAATGAGATAATGAAATGTGGGCAAACCTCCGAATGCAGCAAGGTTGGTCGAAAAGATTGATATTGGTGAAAAAACACACACCCCACAACTTTGAAACCAGGAGTGAACAAATATGGAAACATGCTACAATTGTCGAATCTATGGAGGAACAGCTGCTTGATGACCCAAGTTCAAACCAACATTAAACCCAAAAAAACATGTTTGCTGCGCGTCCACTCCAACAAAGCAATTTTCATTTGGGGTACTTGAAATGCTTACATACAGGAAATAAAATTGGTGGTTGGTTCATAGTTTGCTTGTGGCGAATTGGGTACCGCTGTACTATTAAGTAGTTGCAAGTCTGGAGACATGTCAATAAATATTAAATGAAGGACAACAATTCCCAATTGTTAACGCATGGGTACCATTATCGCTTATACTCAATGTATTCCATGCATTCCATTTCTTAGTATTAGTGAATCCCTTAATAACCCTTCCCCCAATATTAAGTAACCCGCTATAAATCCTGGTTTGGTACTGGATCTGTTCATTTTGAGGTTCCTTATGAGGGGTAGTGAACACTGAGATGGGATAATTTCCCTTACCATATTGATATTAAATTATGGTTATAAAATATATATGGTTAATATAATGGTTAATACTGAGGTAACCAATATAATGGTTAATAAATGTAAATAATTAATATATTTTAATATATATATATCCCTTGATATTAACCATTAGTCTTGGTGAATCCCGTAATCATTGCATTTCTTTTCCCAAAGCTGACCTCTTCTGCAGCCACATCTTCATCGGTCACAGGCTCGGGAGCCTCCGGAATTCTCCGGAAATCAAACATGACAGTGGACATCCCCCATTTATAGATATTTATAGATGATCTTCCCATTCAAATGCTCATTGATACGGAATTTCCCATTGCCATGAAATCCATAATACACTGAGCAGGAAAAACTCAATTCATCACTAGTCTTGGTATAGGATTTTTACTTCTACAGTATTTACTTGTTATCTTTGAAGGGATTGCTATCATTTACCGATATCCACCATACGCGGCCGCAAGGGCCTTGGGTGTGGAGTGTGTGCCACGCTTCCGCGCTTTCTTCAAGCGTCGATAGTGGAGCTTGAAGGCACAATCCTGGAGGATGCAGTTGGCCGGGACTTCCATCGCCATATTCCCATGCAACAATATAAGCACCTATTTAACATAGCTATGGTATAGGTAGCCTATTCATAGATGATAACACAATATATGATCTACCGATAAGAAATGGTGAATTTCCAGTTAGCTACGTTAATTGCTAGAGGGTATGCCATCATATATCCCAATAAATCCCATTAAATCATATTAAATCCCAATAAATCTCATCACATCCCATTTTTGAAACCTCTTTTAAGCTCTAAAAACCAAGGCACCCCATGACATCAGTCCCAGTTTCTGTCCTGACAGAGACGGACTTTCACTAAGGCGCGCTTCTGACCTTGGGCCCCTGTTTGGCCCCTGTTTGGGATCATCCTGCCAGTTGAAACTGGAATTTCCCAGCTGAATTGGTGCTGTGGTGGTTAATGGTGGTTAATGGTGATTAATGATGGTTACTGATGGTTAATGATGGTTAATTATCTGGTTGGTGGTATACCTAGCCCTCTGAAAAATGATCGAGTGTGAGTGAAAGTCAGTTGGGAAAGATTACTATATTATATATTCCCAACTGAATGGAAAATAATCCATTCATGTTCCAAAGCACCAACCAGTATTATCAGTATTAGTAATTGGTGGATGAAGCCATTAGTTCTGCCGGATTATCCCCTTGAAACCATTGGTTAAGCCATTAGCTGTCGGGGATACCTATAGAAAAACGACTGTCACACCACTCACCAGGGTGAAAAACAAAACCACGGTCTGTGATGCGTCCATCCTCCAAGCAGGGGAAAATATCAAAGATGTGGGAAATCGGAAAGCTATGGGGAAACCGGGAAAACCTACATTTCTGGTGGCGTTTCCATATCTAACATTATCTAACTATGTTTGTTTACAGGAGTGTACCTGCCGAAGTGAGCGAATCTTAAATTAATGAACAAAATGATGATATATGATTTTCAAATATCTTAAAAATAATTGGAATTGGAGGTACTCCATTTTCCGATAGACCCTACTGTATGCAAATGTTTCAACACGTCGTGATTTTGGAGCGGATAGGAGCGATCATGTTACCATCCTACACTTGGCAGTGCCCTTCGAGAAGTTGATGGAAAAGTGCAACCGGTCGTTTCACAAATTGCAGGACCCAGCGACACTTCGCTTCAGAGTATTTGAAGTCCACTTCGTAGCCTCAACTGATGAGTGTTGTTTACTCTTTCCCACGACATAGTGACATGATCCCGCATGCAATTCGGATAGCTTTGTTCGAACATGTTGGGTAGCCATAAATCCAATGGTTATTTTGTTTTCCATTAAACATAACGCACTTTCGGGGTATAGCATGGTATAAACCCTGAAAATGTCAGGACAAACCCACATGCACCAGCAGAAATTTCTCAACACTTCTGTAATTCGCGTGTTTTTGTCATGGTGGTACCACAAACCACAAACCAAATAATTTGGATGACTGGGGTTCCCCATGACTTAGGCATGGACTCTTCAAGTCATCCTTCGAGGAACAGAACCTCAGCGTCCAGGCGTCCAGGGCACTCGTCACCCACCTGGGTCCACTCCTAAAATGATGACATTTGATGTATACAATGTCATTCCATGTCATCATGTCGGATCATGTGCTTTCATTCGAACCATAATTGTATACCATCATTCTAATGTGTGTGTGTTATTAAACTCATATATCATTCAAAATAATACTATATAATATTAAATACAGTAATTAATAGATATTTCGTATCATTATGTTTTAATGAATTTATGATAAGTACTGTGCAAGGCTGTCTCATTCTACATAATCATTCCGATCATTGTCTTGTAGAATAATATTGGTTCTATCTCGTTCTATATCATCATCATCATCATCATCATCATCATCATCATCATCATCATCATCATCATCATCACCAGCACCAGCATCAGCATCAGCATCATCATCATCATCATCATCATCATCATCATCATCATCATCATCATCATCATCATTATCATCGTCATCGTCGTCATCGTCATCATCGTCATCATCATAAGCATAAACATAAGCACAAGCAACAGTTCTTACTAAAAGCATGATTCTATCTCATGTTCATGGTCATTGACATCAACATATATACATATATATATATAGTATATGTTCTATAAATGTATATATATAATTATATATCTGTATATGTGTGTGTTTTTAAGATGTTGATTCTACTCATCCCACATCATTCAATCTCAAGTCTAAATCTTGGAACCACCAGCACCAACATAGCACCAACATCCCCACGACAAGCACCAGGGAACTTGTTTGCACAGCTGAACTGCCCCCGGCCGTTGAGCACTTCGCTCTGCGTACGCCAGCGGAAGCCGACCTGGCCCTTGCGGTAGCCCGTCAGGTCGCAGATCACCTCGGAAAGCGCAGCCAAATGGGTCCCCAGGTGATGCCGAACCCGGAAAGGCATATCTGAATGGGAAGATGTTATCTAAACCATGACTAACCATAATTGATACATATTGATGACATAATTAGCCATGAATCATTTGGGACATAATTGTGCTTTAATTAAATATGGTTCGGTTTACCACAAAATACTTGGCAAGTGATCATTCCATATGATGAGTCCTAAACTGGAAATTAGTTGGCCTTGTTTAAGGGATGATTTCCGTGTCCCTTCCTATCAGTTATCAGCCATCATTTTATGGCGGGGTCGTTGGGGAGTGGCCACGACTGATCCATGGGATGGATGAATATATATATATATACAGATATACATATGTGTATATATATATATACAATATGAGCTCTCATACACATGGTGACAGTGTATGGCTTGCAAAACTGGTCAAACTTGATTCTACAGCCGCCCACGGCAACAGGCTCCGGCCATCTGCTGCAAAGGCACATACCTTGCAAGTGGCTGGTTCCCCTCAAGTTCCCCTCTGAGATTTGATGAAACAATGAACCCAAATTTTGGCAGAAACTTGGAGAAACTTAGATGAAACATGATTAAACCCAATTTCGTAGACCAAATGCAGTTGAAAGTGGCCAATTTGATTCATCTGTGTGCTCAAGTTTTGATACACCTTCGTCCATTGGCGCAATGACCACACCAACGAGTATACAAACCTCTGAATCTCGTGTGATGAAGTTGGGGCTGAAAGATTCTCCAATTGCTCAATTTAGACTTGGTGGAATTTCCCATTCAAAACATTCAAAACGGAGGTTTCATCCATTTTTATAGGATATTTCCATTATAAGCGGTAGCCCCATTTATGGAACCCCCCAAATGGAGAATCATGGGGATTTTTGCAGCACAAAAGCTACGAGAACGGCGTCAGAGTGCTATTTTTTTGTCCATGTTTGACAATGCAAATAATGTGAGTAACTGTGAGTACAACAAAAATCACATTGGAACAATTACTCACAATGGATTGATTGTCACTGTTTCTTCTTTGATTACTCAGCAAAAATCAACCACCCATATGGATTGATTTTTTCTTTTTCTTGGTAAGTCTTTGGGGATGGTGGATCCGCTGCTTTACGAAGATAAACATCGTCACTCCTGAGAATCTCACGTGTGAAGCGAGTTTTCAATACCCAAAAACACTGGTAAACAGATGGATCATCATCATTTTCCCCGTGATATCTCATGATATTCCCAGCATAGCAGTATTTTTCATAGTGAAATCATTTTAAATCCACAATATATATATATATATGGATCTATATGGGGTTTCCTAAAATAGGGGTACCCCAAATCATCCATTTAATAGGATTTTCCATTAATTATAAACAATCTATTTTGGGATACCCCCCATTTATGGAAACCCCCATATGGTTGTACCATGATATACCTCTGATTTGGGTATGGGTCAATACCTATAGATACATTTTTAGTGGGATGGACATCCATAAATCCCAGCTATTTTGGGGTTCACTAGGTACCAGGGTTTTGACCCATCCCCATTTTTTTCTGTACATCTGTACAGCCATCTCCGGCATCATCGGCACGAGTTGCTCTTTGAAGAGACGATCGTAGTACCTGTGGAACCATCCCATGACCGGGAGCGAAACATCGCTATGGAACAGCATCTGTTAATAGATATATTATTGATGTATCATCCATTGATTGGTTATATATCATGATAGTATCATCATCCATTGAATGGTTGTATATGTTGTATTTATACATACATAAATCATCTCCGTATCCAATCTTTTGATGAAAACAACATTTTAAAAAAACAGCAATTGACTGGTGATATATATATATATATACATTAGATGTGAGATGTAAAGCATAGATATTAGATACGGTCAACCTATGCAGGTTCACATCCGCATAGCCTTTTTCCTTTCCAATCTCTTCGTGCGGTCTCAACCTGCCTCCAGCAGGATTAATGCTTTGGGTAACTGAGCAGGTATCCCCCTGCACAGCAGCACTGGTTAGATCCATACCCCCTGTTCCGCACTCCTGTAAACCCAGGAGGCTACACAGGGTGAATCTCTCCCACCCAGTGCCACGGCGTGCACCTGCACGTAGAGATCAACATCCGCAATGATGTGATCCCCTACAAGAGAGGATACTCCACAGGAGTCCTATCTCATAGGGAGGGAAGGGAGGGAAAAGAAGGAATGATGAAGCCAGTTTGGCTCAGACTTGATCCAAAATGGATTCATCAGCTTACATACTCACCCTAATGATAATGCACACCCATTGCCTGCCAAACACGATGCATACATACATTAGATGTGAGATGTAAAGCATAGATATTAGATACGGTCAACCTATCCAGGTTCACATCCGCATAGCCTTTTTCCTTTCCAATCTCTTCGTGCGGTCTCAACCTGCCTCCAGCAGGATTAATGCTTTGGGTAACTGAGCAGGTATCCCCCTGCACAGCAGCACTGGTTAGATCCATACCCCCTGTTCCGCACTCCTGTAAACCCAGGAGGCTACACAGGGTGAATCTCTCCCAACGCACTTCAATTCCCAAAGCACTTAGAGAAACTCCGCAATCCGTAGAAACGCAGGAAGTGGTAGAGACCAAAACTCGAAGGGGAAAACTGCAAAATGCGTGGTGAACCTATGGCGCTGGTGCTATGTGGCTTGGAGGCCATCCCTACTGATCTCATCGGACCAGTCGGCCTTGCTAGGGATCCACTCCCAGAAAAACCAGGCTTGGAGTGCAAAAAGAGTGACATGAATCAGACGAGACATATATTCTAAATCTGCGTTGTCAGAACGACCTCTAATCAGAGCCATGAGCGCCGCTGTATTGTCAATGAACCAGAGTCCTCTTCGACCACGAAATGTTGACGGACGAGAAAACAATGCATATAGAACCTGAAGCAGCTCCAGCTGAACAATCTGCTTGTCTCCCGACTCCCAAAGGTGGTACACCAATGGAGGGATGATTGAAACAAAGGCTCCACGCTGTTGACTGTGGTCATCATGCCACGCTACCAAAAATCCTCCTGTACCTTGACCTGGACTTTCTAATGCAGCATCTGAGGCTGCCAGAAAACGTGGCCCTGCATGTGGCCAGATCTCCATTTGCCTGGAGAATTTGATAGCAATGATGATACGCAACAAGTCGAAGCATCGACGCAACTCCGCAGTTAACTCTAAGATGCGTTATTGTTGTCTGCGCTTGATAGAGACCAGGCCTCCACAACCAATGCGCCCCCATACACCAAGCTCAAAGAAATTGACAACGCCATAAATCTTGGCAGCTACTCCTGATTGAAGTTTGCTGAAATCCTCCGCATGCTTCATGAGATGGAGCAGTTTGTGCTCGATGCGTTCACGTGCCCAAAACTGAATGATGCCCTGTGCATGAACTGCATAGCTCGCTGGCCCGATCCTTTGCAAGACTTCCTGTCAGTCACATGTGCATCATCAAAATACAAACTCGTCAAACAGAATGCAAAACGACGCGACAAAGCTTCCACCAGACGAATGTATCGATTGAAGGACGTGACGGCCAAAGGGAGACCAAAAAGCAATCCCTGTGTAAATCATGAAAGCTGGCCGCTGTATTGTCAATGAACCAAAGTCCTCGTCGGCCACGAAACGCTGAAGGACGTGAAAACGATGCATAGAGGACCTGAAGCAGCGCCAGTTGGGCAATCTTCTTGTCTCCCGGTTCCCAAAGGTGGCACACCAATGGAGGGATGATCGGGACAAAAGCTGCACGCTGTTGTATGTGGTCATCATGCCACACTACCAGAAATCCTCCCGTACCCTGACCTGGGCTTTACGATGCAGCATCTGAGCCTGCTAGAAAACATAGCCCCACGTGCGGCCAGATCTCGATCGGCCTGAAGAATTTGGTAGCGATGATGATTCGCAACAGATTGAAGCAGGGACGCAACTCCTCAGTCAACTCTGAGGTGTGTTCTTGTTGTCTGCGCTTGATAGGGGCAAGGCCACCGCAACCGAGACGTCCCCATACACCAAGCTCAAAGAAGGTGGCAATGCCATAGATCTTGGCGGCTGCTCCTGATTGAAGTTTGCTGGAATCCTCGGCATTCCTCATAAGGTGGAGCAGCTTGCGCTCAATGCGCTCGCGCGCCCAAAACTGAATGGTGCCCTGAGCAGGAACTTGAATGAAATCGGGATCGAATCCCAAAAATGTACCAGAGCTCTGCATCTTCTGGCATTTCTCCTCTGAAAAAGAGGATTCCCAAAAGGGTGTTGAGCGTTTGCATGGCTCGTTGACCTGAACCTTTGCAAGATTTCCGGTCAGTCAGAGGTGCATCATCAAAATGCAAACACGTCAAACCGAATGCAAATCGACGTGACAAAACTTCCACAAAGCGACTGAATCGATTGAAGGACGTGACTGCCAAAGAAGACCCAAAAAGCAAACCTGTATAAATTATGAAAGCTGACCGCTGCCATTCGTGATGAAAGAAGGCCGCAACACAGCATAGAGCTTCGTCTCCACTCATGAGATAAAATCTGTAAGCATCAGGCCGGTCCTGGCCACCTGACTCCCATTCCTCTGTATCCCAGATGGAAAGTGCTCCATAGGCATATGCATACTGCAGATGCTGAGCTGGTCGCAGGGCTGAGCAAAGAGTAAGCTTGTTGGCGTCACTGGAGCGCTCAGATTGTAGGCCAACATAGGCATCATCAATCACCCTCTGTTTCCCCGAGGATTGTGTGATGACGCACCGTGGGATCAAACGGTAAGGCTCTGCTCCAAGACGGCTATGCAGTTCCTCTGCATCCATCGAGGAGCTGCAGAAACCCTTCTCGGCATCTTTGAGGCTCTGCTGCAGCATGAACTCATCGTCCGCACCAGGCTTCAGCCGAGATAAGATCCCTCTGCGGTGGCTCTGCCAATCCTGGAGGACGTCCTCCCGTGTCAATCGGGTGGCCTCCTGCTCTGGAAAAATACCATATGGGGGTGCATAGCCCACTGCTGGAAGCCCCATGCAAAGGCCGGCTGGCAGTATCACATCGCCCCAATTGGCCAACAGTAAAAAGATGGCTGTGAAGCCCATATCTCGTTGCACTGTTGCTGTGCGAATAGCCTCTGTTTGGTTGCTCCGCACGTGCGCTGTCATCTTGCCCCAGCGTCGTTTCATCTCCGCCGAGAGACCCATCGCACGTTTCCTCAGCTCGCTCAGGTCAACTCCTGGCAGGCTTGAGAGTGAAGCAGCAAAACGAAGATCATCATCCAAAATGAGAAGCCCCTCAGTGGGCCGGGATTGTAAGCTGAGTTTCAAGAAGCTTTCAAAGTGTTGACCTGACTGAAGTTGGAAGGGCAGCAGTGGGGCCAATGCAGCTGTGTGATCAATAGCGCCCACTTGCTGACCTTCAGCTGTCCTCATCTGCTGCCGCACATAGAGGGGCTGCTAAAACTGAATAGCACCTACCTTCCATGTCGAGCCCTTGTTGATGTCTCCATCGAATGTACAAGCCGAGCGAGTGCTGATTCACCAGGTACTCAACAAAGGGGATGACATACCATCAACCAATCGCCTGAATAGAGCTTTTTGAATGCTAACGCCAAAGACTCCTGAAGAATGTAGAATGGCCCAAAGGAAATACCCGTCGCTTTGGCTACACTTGACACCAGAACACTACGGGTAACTCCCGTGAGGCTCCTGCCATATCCCCAAAATCACGGGGAATCTCCCTGGCTCGGCTCTTGGTAGAACAATCCAGGGCAGCGGCTATAAAGCAAACCGATTGAAGTTGATCGTGCATGATTGCTACCTGAGGCCGTTGGACAAATCGTGACTGCTGTCAAGCACCCAATCCACTGAAATGATTTCCCAACCGCAGAAGATGAATACTGCGGGCAATGGTGTAAGCTGCCTCATAAAAACCGGTGAGACTAATTAGGACAGCCTGTCAAAAACTCATACCCTCGGCTCGTGTCCATGCAGCTTGCACTCACAGATCCCTGTGTAAGCTACCTCATGAAAACCGGTGAGACTAATTAGGACAGTCTGTCAAAAACTCATACCCTCGGCTCATGTCCATGCAGCTTGCATTCACAGATCCCTGTGTAAGCTACCTCATGAAAACGGGTGAGACTAATCAGGACAGTCTGTCAAAAACTCATACCCTCGGCTCATGTCCATGCAGCTTGCACTCACAGATCCCTGTGTAAGCTACCTCATGAAAACCGGTGAGACTAATTAGGACAGTCTGTCAAAAACTCATAACCTCGGCTCATGTCCAGCAGCTTGCACTCACAGATCCCTGTGTAAGCTACCTCATGAAAACCGATGAAACTAATTAGGACAGTCTGTCAAAAACTCATACCCTCGGCTCATGTCCATGCAGCTTGCACTCACAGATCCCTGTGTAAGCTACCTCATAAAAGCCGGTGAGACTAAACAGGACAATCTGTCAAAAACTCATACCCTCGGCTCATGTCCATGCGGCCTGCACTCACAGATCCCTGTGTAAGCTACCTCATGAAAACCGGTGGGGCTATTAGGACAGTCTGTCCAAAGCTCATACCCTCGGCTCATGTCCATGCAGCTTGTACTCACAGTTTCCTGTGTAAGCTACCT